ACTCCACGTGAGATGGGATGAAAAATTTTCAAGTATAGTCTCGTCCCATAGGATGAACAAATGTTGTGTTCCATTCCATGGAATTTCATGGGACAAATGATTTTTTTGTATAGAGGTATTCTTTTCAGAACAATATATGTCTTAAAAAAAGTATTTTCATTTTTAATTTACGACTTTGTTTGAATTGTATTTTGTAACATAAAGGGTGTTCCATAATAACTGACGATAAATTGTTATTCATATTTTTCATACTTTTTCTTGACATAGAGGGCTGAAATTTTTATCACATATATATCTAATGAAGATCTTCTATTTCGGAAAGTTTCAGGTCTCTAGCTATAACTACTGGTGAAATACATCAACAACATTCAAATATATAAATTTTCGAAATCGATTTTTCAATACTTTTTATTGTGAAAATGTTGCAGAATATTTCCATAAGTAGTTAACCAAAAAATCACAAACTGCTCAGAAAATTTTTTTTCGTATTAGAATTTGTAGAGCTTTTCCCGCTGATCATTTTGGTAAAAAGACTTTTCGAATTTCATTGAGAAATGACGATGTTATAGGCAAAATACTAAACACTTTAAAATAGGTTAAAGCGTAAGGAAGTCGATTCGTATATCTCAAAATGTGGCTATATTCTGGAGAAATGTGACTTAGTAGGTTTTGTAGAGGAAACCTTGCTCTACAAGATCCTATAGTCCGTTTCTGAAATATAAGCAAATAGGATGAATAATTCTCGATTGAACATTGTATGCGATATTTCTATGAAAAAAATCTGACATCTTCTATTTTTTGCGATAAATATTTTGACTATAACATCGTCATTTCTCAATGAAATTCGAAACATGTTTTTACTAAAATGATCAGCAGAAAAAGCTCTACAAATTCTGATATGAAAGAAAATTTTCTGAATACTTTGTGAGTTTTTGGTTAACTACCTATGTAACTGCCCCGCTAGGTCGATTACGAAAATTCATGTATTCAAATGTGGTCGATGTATTTCACCAGTAGTTATAGCTAGAAACCTGAAACTTTCAGAAACAGAAGATCTTCATTAGATATATATGTGATAAAAATTTCAGCCCTCTATGTCAAGAAAAAGTATGAAAAATATGAATAACAATTTATCGTCAGTTATTATGAAACACCCTTTATATGGTAGAGATGGAGAGAATAATGTGTTTTCAGTATGAAACTAAAAAAAAAAGGTTGTGAACTCGAGTATGATAAATTATGAAAAAATCAAATGAGATAATATTGAAATTATTTAATAGGTGTGACGTCCCATGGAACGACTTTTATCGTTCTATCCCACTCCACGCAAAGTCCTGGTATGATGATCATAGCATTTTCGATAAATGAGATGGACTTTAAATTTCTTGAAAAAATTCTAATTAACAGAGTGTGAAATTTCGTGATTTCCAGTATTCTTTTGAAAAACCTCAACCCTCAAAATTGAGAATCTGGAACTTTTTCTATTTTTAACGTACTATCTGCAGCTTGATGTTTACTGAAGAATTGAGCAATTTCCAAAGTAAAATGAGTCAGCTACGTTCAATCGCGGTCGAGTGATTCTCATGCGAAAATTCAGTTGCTAAGATAAGAACGATGTTGATTATATCACAAGTTTTAACCAGAAACAAACATCGTCACATTGAACAGCAACTCGATTACCTAGGTTTTAGCACTTTTCGAATTCCCAGACATGTGCAGACCGAGATAGGATGATCCGCGAAAAACCTTCCTTACTGTGGAGCGTTGAGACTGATGGATCGTGTCTCTTACTATCTCCTTGACTTTTTGAAATTCCAAACCCAATACTTTTCGGAAAACTGTCAACGTTTACAAAAAAAAATTTATGACATGGTATCTCCCTTGCAGTTGGATCTTTCCCTCTTCCTTTCAGACAGGCAAAACAATGGAGTAACTCATATTCAAAAACAGATGTAGTCAGGAATTCAGAGCTTTTTCTCCACACTCACATCAATTCGTTTCTTTGCCATTTTTAATCGTTCTTCGGATTGATCGATTAATGTTAAACTTGAAACAGTTGGATATGCCTTCAAATAATTAAGTGAAGCCATTCCACTTCCACAACACAGATCAACCACTCGGTAGATGCTTGCCGGTGATGGTGAAGGTGGACAAGCATAAATCATTTCTTCGATCATTTTATTAACTAAGGGCATACGTCGTGACAAATGAAGATCGTACCATTGTGAATTTGACCAAAACCCACTGCCAGTACGATCTAAATTATTTAACCAAGACATGAGCTCTAAAATTTCGATTAACAAAATTTATAAACAATCTTCACTCAGCACTTTATATAAAAAAACCAGCCGATAAAACCTTATGCATCGAAAAAAACAACGTTTTGTTATCTCCTGTATTGACACTGTCATACAGCTATGTCAGTATCACTTTATCTGAAAACAAAGAAACCAAATACAGATATTGAGATTCACAACAGCGTCATTCTTCTTCATTTTTCAAATGACTTGCTTGAAGTTACACGGCAATAAACCTCGTCGAGTTGGATCCGGCTCCAAAAGATATTTGATGTATACAAAGATATTTTTCGAACTCGTGTTTTTTTTGCATTCTTTTTACTCGAAAAGTAGTTGTTAATTAATTTGTAATAAATAGATGATAACAACAAAACTCTCCTTGCGATTTAGAAAACGAAAGTTATTTCATCAAATCCATGATTTTTCAATTATGTTTTCATAAATATAAATTAGTTCAAACAAAACAATCGAAAATTTTCATGAGAATGTTCGAAAACAAAAGAAATGAAATTATATTGTTTGAATCGATATTTTCATTTTTCGATTCACCTTCTATCACAAACTATTGGTAGAAAGTGGGAGCCAGCTACAACTTGCTCAGTAAAAATCATTTCCAAGAGCGCTACTGGAATGTAAAGAGGACGCTAATCACCGATTTAAATAACGGACAAAAAGAATTTTGTATTTCTTGAATAACTGCCAATTTCGAATGATAAAGTTCCTTGAATGTATTAATATTACAGTTTACATGTGCGTTTGGGTCCAAAAAAAGTTAGATAGGAGAGGTTCTACACGTCAATCCCAAGGATTTTGGGAGAACTCTGTCTCAAGATTCCTATTTACGTGCGTCGTATTGTATGACAGAGACAAGCGGAAATCCTTTTTGAAAGAACCAAATGGATCTCGAAAAAGGCAGCCAGTATGATTGATATTGTTTGCACTGAAAAATTTCTAAAAAGGTTTAAATCTTTCGAGTGGCGTGAGCTAAAAGTTCGAATATGTCGGACAGAAAAAACCGGTTCATCGATTAGCTTTCAAAATCTACTGATGTTTCGGAGATAGGACCGAGTTTGGGGATTTTTACAGCCAAAATCTAGAAACAAAATTGCAAGTGTACATTCAATTCTGATCTCTTAACGAATAACAGAAAATAAAAGAATACTTGTATCATTGGAACACATTTCTTTTCTTATCAATAAATTCACTCTTTGCGTCTATGTCAACGTTTGCTCTACGCATTGAAGTCTAACCGTGCTGACAGTTTCATAAATTTCCCCCTCGCCGTTCTGTAAAAAACTCTGAGAAGGATGGGCCCTTAAAAAAGGTTGACCTAAGAAACTTACAAATCCATGATAAATAATGTGAGAGAAACGTAAGTTGTCGCTTGCTTAACATCACTTGAAATAACTAAATACATATGTGAAAGTGAAAGGAGAAACAGAAGAGAGAACAGCCATTCAGGAGCCGCGCGACGGACCAAAGATGCGGATGTAAATTCGTATTTGCCACAAATTTTTGCATAAAAAGTGTAGATGTTAGTCGAAATCTGCTGTTGTTGCTGGAGGAAGCTGGAAACTTTTATTATTGGGAGAGGGAGAGGTGTCCTCTCTAAGGCAGCGATCCTCTTCATTTTGTTGGACAGTATTTGCTGACTTCAATGGAATCTGTATAATAGAAGCAAAAATATTAGAGCATCACATTTTCATGGACATATATTCATTACAAAGGCGCAACTGTTCGATATTGGGAACTTTGACATGGAGCTTAGTTCCCATTGCTCCTCTTCCTTCCGCTGGCTAGGTCGCTATCACACGAGAGTTCATCGAAAAGAAAAAGATGTAAAAGAAAGTAACAAAAAGGGTCGATGACAAAAAAACGGTTTTAGATTTCGACGAGCGGCTCTTTATTGCTTTCAATTTTTCTTGAAATACAATAATATAGCGAAGAAAAATATGAGTTCCTGGTAATAGTACACGATGAAATGTATAACAAGAGAATCGAATTCGGTTCGTCGATGTTTTTCTTTTTAGCGAGAACTTGTGGATTGTAAAGACCAAGAACATTCGATTCACCACTGGAAAACCTCGATCAGTGATATGAGTATCCCGGGGTGTGGGTGTGGGGTGTAGATGTGGGTGTGGGGTGTAGATGTGGGTGTGGGGTAGGTGTGGTTGTGGGTATGGGTGTGGGTATAGGTGTGGGTCTTAATGAAGATAATACACCCACACCCCACCCACACCCACACACCCTACCCCACACCTCACACCCACACACACCCACACCCTCACCCACACCAACACCCCCACCACCACCCCCACACCCACATCCACGCACCCACACCTACACTCACCCACACCCAC